TGCTGCTCTTCCTGAGGACCTGGATTCATCTAGACACCCATGTTCCCTGTAACTCCACCTTTGGGGTATCCAGTGTCCCCTTCTGGCCCTACATACATGGCATCTACATACATACGTCATACACATACAACACAAGTGGTGTGGGGGAGGCTGAAGAGATGGCTCAGCAGTTAAGAGCACATGCTGCTCTTCCAAAGGACCTGGCCTCAGAGTTCAGCCTCCGGTGTTGAGCAGCTCACAACCACCTGTAACTCCCCTTGTCCCCAGGGTTTAACTGCCAAGACCACCAGCACTCCTACTGCCTACCTGCAAGGTTTACTCAGGCCACCGGCCCCACCGGGCCCCACATCTGAGTTCTGAGGACACAGGCACCTCCCTCAGGATGCTGGGATTCAAACTCACAGCATCACTTTACAGCACCTTCCTCGAATTTCAGCCGTCCCCACCCCAACCCTGGAAGCATCAGATCAAGGGAGTGCTCTCTCCCTGTGGAGATTACAGCTTAACAAAGAAAACCATGCAAGACAAAGACGGAGGACACCCAGCTCGCCCCAAAGGCAGGGATGTGCTTGGGGCACAGGAATATTGCTAAGGAGCAACCAAAATGTCCCATGTCAAGTGCGTGAGCTGGAGAGGGTGGACAAGCCCAGCTGAGAATGAACAGCAGAGGGCAGCCTAGGGTTCCATTCAGGAGCAAAAGCGGAACACTGAAGGTGGCCATACTGTGATCACGGCGCAGGTTATGTAAGTCACACTATATTAAACATAGTAGGGAGGGCTGAAGAGATCCCTGCTAAAAGGTAGAACACACTCACATGCCCATCAACAGGTGAATGGTTAGGCAAAATGAACTGTATCCACTCACAAGTTCTTCAAATGTCAGGGGAATAAAGAAGCAATGCTAATTCCAACATGGAGGCAAGGGAAAGGAGCCAAGCATGAGTACATACGAAGCACCCATAGCCCCAGCTGCATTCGTATCAAAGTCAAAACAGGCAGCTCTCAGACAGAAGACAGAAGTGGCCCTGGATCAGGGAGAGAGCAGCACCTAGCTTTCGGGTGATGAAAATGCTCTCAAATGGTAGCAAAATGGCCCAGGGCCTGTGATGTAAGAAAATCATCAAACTTCCTGTGGGTGACTGGGATGAGCGACTTGTGTCCCCAAGACACACAAAAAGAAAGGGCTCCTGAAATCTTCCGGGAGAGGACAGCACTGAGCAGGTCCAGCATGATGGAGAGTGGGAGAGAGCTGTCCTGTTGGAGAGCTCAGCAGGAGCATGGGTCCAAGTGCTTGCAAGGCCTGCTGCCCAAGCACTTTCCTGCAGAATAAAACATGGACGCTTTCTCACCAGTATCTTCCTTTAACGTGTAACCACACTGTTTCGACACATTTTTGCTTGGGAAGTAGATTGAAGCTTACCTTTCTAGAACAAAAGTTCAGCGAACAAAACAGCCCTTTAGCCTGCGGGCTTGGGGTCAGTGCTCTCAGAATAAGCCAGCATCACAGACTCAGGTGTCAAGGCCTCTGGTCTCTGCTGTCTGACCTAGAGAGTGAATCACGCTGAAGACATGATTCGGGGCCTGTGAGCACCTGATACATGATCCCTTTCGAGAAGACAGATTTTCACTGCCACGCTCGTGGACAGCCTCTCAGAATTTAGAGTCTATAAAATCGATAGATCAGGTGGCGCCCCAGACCCCAAGTTCACCTCCAGGATCTCTCAGGCCAGGCCACAGGAGCTCCAACTGCAGCTCAGACAGAGCCGCTGCTGGCTCTGCTCAAGCTGGATGGTGAGAGGTCAGGTCAGGTAAAGCCACCATTAGCCTCAGAAGGCTGTGCAGAACTCCAGAGGAGCGGGAAGAGGCGCCGAGGTTTATGACACGCCTGTTATTTACACAAAGTGCTTCCTGCTTGACAATGCAGATTAAAATGTTACTGCATCTCAGCGTGTTGCTGCAAATTCTCAGAGTAAAACCACTGGGGCAGCTAATAGAGGCTTCACACAGCACGTCTGAAGCCTGTCCTCCTCCCCCGGGTCTGAGGCTGGTGAGGCAGGCTCCCAGTTCTTTGAGGTTACCTTCACACTTCCCATTCTTCTCTGCGGGAGGAGGACATGAACTCCCCTTGCAAAACACAAGGTACATAAACAGATACAGTGTTTTTTAACCCCGAGACCCCCAAGGATGAGAGGAAAACCGTATGCAGAATTTCTCTCCCTTCCTCTGAGCAAGCCATTTCTAGGAGTCCCTTCAGTGCGTCTTTATTTCTCAAAGTAACTGAAAAAGCAAAATAAAACACTGCCGTGCAAAGAGCACTAATGGGGAATTGGAGAACGGACACTGCTGGCCATTACCTTACCAGTGACTGTGTGTCTAAGGGAGGAAGTGAACGGGCCGATTGTCCTCTCACCATATAGTTAGTTCATCACCTGCCTGTGAACTTTTCGTTGAAACTTATCCTTTTTATTTCACATTCCAAGGGGCAGCCCAGGAAAACATCTCCAGAGGTACAAAGGCTAAAAATTTCCCTCCAAGGAATTCTATAGAGAGATTGTCCCTTTAAACTTCTCCTTGAATTAAAATACACACCACAACTCACCTGACTCTTAAATTTTTTCTGCCCTCACTCCTGCGCTGCGACTCCTCCTGGAGTTGGGGTGTTCACGCCGTGCCCATTCAAAACTCTGACTGGATTTTGGGTCACCTCTGACCTTGTAAGTCCAACGGCCCCCAGACAAACCGCCAATCACCTCGAAGCCCCCCCCCCCCCAGAGGACAGCACAGAATGTTAAAAACACTCTCTTCCCATAGGTGAGCTCCCACAGCGTAGGTAAACTCCCAGCCCAAAGCAGCCAGCGTGGGAGAGACAGGCAACTCTATTAGCATGCTGAAGCCGGCCTCCGGCCCCCTCCTCTCCCTCTTTTATGGGCCCTTGTTATATAAAGGCCACAAAGAGAAACGGAAAAGCAGACTTGTGGTCACAAACACAAGTTCCGAAGGCCAGGCCAAACCCTGGCTGCCTACCAGATGTTATTTTTAGGCATCTAAACGAGAAACATTTTTAAAAGGCCAGAGAACAAAAGTTTTCTGGCTTCCTTTCTTTCTTTTAAAGCACTCACACAAAAAGATGGAGGCACTGTTCCTTTGCAGGCAATACTCCTGCAAATTTAAAGGCAAAGACGTCCTGGGGGTAAGAGGGCTCCTTCCCCCCACAAGCAGCAGCCTCTACCTTCAAACAGGATTTTCAAAGATTTCCTTTGTAGTCTTATCTAAATTCCAGCAGGCCGGATAATAAATTGCTACTCATTTACTATCATAAAAAAAAAAAAATTAAAGCCCTGAAATAGTTGCCACTAGACAGAGGAAAGGATCGCACGTAAGCCGGGAAGGACCCACTCCGGATAGTGAAACTACTGCCACGAAGCGCCCACATAAAAGAGACATTGTTGCAAAGAGAGGCTCCCAGCACCGGCTTTTCCCTTTTAAATCTTCTACTCTGATCCTAACACTCCACAACTTCGCGTTTTACCCAGGCTATCACACTGTTCCAGGTTTCCTAGATTTTTTTTTTTTTTTTTTAAGTATCTGGTTTGATTCTACAGAGTGATTAAACATCTTTGTGCTCTGCGGAAAAGGGTCTTCCAACCCCTCCCCCTCCAAAAATGGCATCGAAGCAATCAAAATGGTAATGCCGGGCCTGGGTCCCCTCCCCCCGCGAACTCCCCGACTTCGCCGGGGCCGCGCGCAGGCCCCCCTCCGGCGGGAATGGAAGCTTCCACTCGCGGACGGGGGCGCGCAGCCGGGGGCTTGGGGGTGGGGGGGCCAGGCTCCGACAGAAAGGGGCAAATGCCTAACTCCCCCGCTTACGGTCCAGGCAGGCTCCCCCTCTCGCTCCTACGCGACCCCCCTCCCACCACTTTGCAACTTTAAAGACTCGGCCTGGAGCACTCGGCCTGCTAGCCAAGGCGTTCTCCCGGGGGACTGCGAGCTCCGGGCCGCTGAGGAGGGGAGGGGGGGATCCCGTGGGCCGGGAGAGGGGAGTCGGCCGGGTGGGGGTCCCCGGTATGTCCTAGTCCGGGGCGGGCGGCGGCATTCCGAAGGAAGCAAGAGCAATGCCCCGGCGCGGGCGGGGGGGGGGGGGGAGGAGGAGAGTGGCGCGCCCCCGCCCGCCGCCTCGGAGACCCGGGTGCACCATTGGCTGCACCGCTCAAAGTTCTCGGCCGGGGACGCGCAGGGGCGGGGGCGCGCTCGGAGGGGGAGGGGCTCGGGGGCGCGCAGCCGGCCGGGCTCTGGCGGCGGCATCTGTTCGTGGTGCTGAAACCCGGAGCGCTGAGCTCAGCGCAACTAACTCACAATGGACAACTTTTCCTCGCCGAGGGGGAGGCGGGCGCGCACCCCCACGGCTAGAGCTCCACGCGGGTCCTCACATCCCTTTTCAGGCATGGACATCCCAAGTTGGGGCAGAACTGGGGGGCCCCGGGGGCGTCTTTCTTTTGTTCCCCGGGAGCTGGCGTCAGGTTCCGAGAATAAAAAGTGAGGCCGGCGGGATGGCCGGGAAGGGGCCGGCTAGAAGGATCACCAAACCAAACCAGGTCGGCCGCGCCACGCGGAATTGGTTTTCCAATAGTTTGGGGGGCAGGCCCGAATTGCCGCCTCCTTGCGTCCCCCCTCCCACCGCAGCAGGGATCAGGGGATGCCGAGGCCGGGGAATGTCCACGTTCCCAAAACATGTCCACCGCTCAAGATGGACGCCGGCCCGGCGCCTCGGAGGTACGGCGCGCATCTTTCGGCAGCTGCCGGAGCCTCGCGCTCCCCCTCAGCCGCCACCAACCAGCTTTCTCTCAAGAAAGGGACCACAGCAACTTTGAGGAATGCAGCCAGACCCCCAAGGGAGTCGGTGCGCGCGGCGCCCGCACGGGCACTTTTTTAGGGCGCTGCCAAAGTGCCCGGCGACCCTCCCTGGACCCCGGTCCTCGGTGGGGGACGGGCCCCCTCCTTACTTGTTTGTCGTTGAGCGCTGCGATCCGTGGCTGCCTTTCGTGGAGCTGCTTCTTGAGGTCGCCGTTCTACAGAGACACAGAGAAGCGGGCTCAGCCTGGCCGACCCCGGGGGTTGGGGTCGGGGGGAGCGGCTAGGCGAGCCCCGCACCTCCACCGCCCAATGCCGGGCGGGCCAGGCCAGCGGCAGCGCGCCCCAACTTTCCGGGGCCGCTTCCCGCACCCGGGCGACCGTGCGACGTCGCGCGGAGCCGCTTACCTGTGGCTGCCGCCTCATTGGGGCAGCTCCCGGGGCGGGGCGGGGGCCGAGGCCACCCGGCGGCGCGCCCCGAGCCGTGCAAGTTTGCAGGCCAGGGTGCGGGTGCCGGTGAGTGTGAGAGTGTGTGCCGGGGGAGGGGGGACGAACAAAGAGCCAAGTAAACACGGCGAGTCCGTGTCGAGCAAAGCTCATAAATATTCAAGTCGCGTCCTAATCTTCCCCAACACACACACACACACACACACACACACACACACACACACACGCGAGCGCACGCCGCCAAACCGCTCCGGCACCTGCCGCCACGCCGCCTCCCGCCCGAGTCACGATCGCCAAAACTACTTTCGCGAAGGGTTAGCGTCGGTGCCGGGCTTGGGTCCGGGGCAGGAGGCTCGGAGCGGGCCTATCCACGCACCCTGTTCCCAAGACAGCTCAAGGAGGGTCCCCTTCCCCGGCGCCCGAGTTGTGCAAACGGGGAGGCGACCGAGAAGACGCCCCGCGGGGGTCCCATGCGCCCTGGACCTGCAAACCGTACGGAATCGCCTGGGAGCGAGGGGGAGAGGGAGACCCCCAAGGGTACATTCCACCCCCGGGACGTGCTCCGGGAGGGGGCATGCTGCCAGCACCCCTGCGACCAAGAGTTCGATTCAGAGCCTGGGTCCCTCGGCCTCCACTCCCCAGGCCACTGCCGCTCCCCGGCCCAGGGTCCCGGACCACCTACCTGGTGGCGCGCAAGTTCCACCGCCAGCGCCTCGGACCGGCTTTGAAGCTCCATCGCCGCAACTTGGGCAGCACTTTGCGCTCACTTTGGCCTGAGCTCGCGGGAAGTTGTGCGGCTCCGCGGGGACCAGACCGAAAGAGCTCGGATCCGGCGACCCGGCACTGGGGGACACAAGTCCCCTCCCGCAGCGCCGACAGGAAAGGGGGCTGACGAGGGGGAAGAAAGGCGAGCTGGCGCCCAACTCTTCCGGCTGCCGCTAAGTTGCGCCGGGTGCCCGGGCCGCCTGCGCCGCCCGGCGCATGGCCCCCCGGCGCCGGGAGCCCCGAGCAGCTCCCCAGCGTGCGCACTGCCGCCTCCCGCGCCAGCTGACCGCTGGCAGGGACTATATTTCCTCCGGCGGGCGCGCCTGGATCTCGCTGGAGCCGCGGCAAAGTTGTGCCTCGGCACGATGCTAATTCGGCAGTGCCCGGATGAAGCGGGCCGGGGCGGCAGGGGGCGGTGCCGGGAACCCGCCGCCCGCCCCGCCCCGCCCCGCCCCGCCCGCGCCTGCGCGTTGCGTGCGGCCCAGCGACCCGCTCGAGGAACAAAAGTGGCGGCTGAGCGGAGCGCAAAAGTCCTGGCTCGCAGAGCGGGGCGCCCGCGTGATCCTTCTCGGTACGCAGCCAAGAGCACGGAGAACCGGGGATGCTCTCACAGCCCCACTCCGAGGGCGACACTCCCGGCAGCAAACCGAGACGCCGCCCTCTGGCCTCTCTCGCCTCCTCCCTCCTCCGCTTCCCTTACTCGCCTCGCTCTCCGGTTTCATTTAAATCACCCTGGTCCTCTCCCGCAGGCGCGCCCAGGGCTGCCACTCGGGAGACTAAATCACTCCTGTCGCCGGAGTCCCAGCGCCTGATGGCCGCCGTGGTGTTTAAACACTATGAAAACTGATCTTCTGACTGCTCCTTTAATGATTTTTTTACACTCACAATTAAACTCTCAACAGATGTCACTAGACTTTTTTTTTTTTTTTTTCCCAGACAGTTGTTAAAAATCGTAAACACGCCGGGTCAGTGTGACATACAGCAACCGTAACTACAGTCGCGGAGATGGCGTTTCAGAACTCTTAGTCCCTGAGCCGGGGTCATCGTCTCCGAATCGAGTTTGCTGCAGCGGAGTTTCCTGTCCTCATCAATTAATGTCGGGGGCTTTGTGCCCTGCTGGGCGCTAGCATACTAGTGTGTCGCAATCAGGCAGGGAGAAATGGGCCTCCTTTTCAGAGTAACCGCGATTTGATAGCGACTCATGACTAACTCTATGGGTCACAAGAAAGGAAAGAAGGAAGGAAGAAAGAAAGGAAAGAGGGAAGGAAGAAAGGAAGGGGAAAGAAAACCCAGGCACACCACTCAGAAATGTCCCTCCAATGGATGCCAAAACTCTACACGTTTCCTTTACCCCTCAGTAGAAATCAATCTCTCTCTCTCTCTCTCTTTCTCTCTCTCTCTCTCTCTCTCTCTCTCTCTCTCTCTGTCTTTCTCTCCCCACCAGTGTTGTTAGGGCCATATGCAGTATTGGTCACAGATGACTAGGATGAGATCTGACTGGTTCCTCCCACTTCTGGGTTAGACCCAATTCAAGACAATGTCTCCCACTCTTTTTCTTTTATTGTTGTTGATGTTGTTTTCTTTTGCAGTAAGGGGTCCTGGGGATCCAGCGCAGGCATTAAAGCATACTAGGCAAGCCTCTGTTATTTAGCAACACTCACGGCTCCACTTTTTTGCTGGGCAGGACAACAGCTTAGTTAAAGACTGGCTGAAAGAAAAAAAAAATGGCTGAAGACTGGTGTTTGGAGGGCCAGGGAGGGCGTGTGCTGGGCAAGCGTCTCCCTCCTACAATTTCTGCGAATGTCACTGGCTGTTAACGAGAACCTAGGGTTATCTTATTGGCCGTGTGGTCCTTACATCAACAGGACAGACATTCTGGTTGTCCTTGGCTAGCACAGACTCCAGCAGAGGCCCGCTGAAGAAGGGCTGCTAGATTGGTGACGGTCCAGCTGGTTTGTAGCTTTGCCCACCGTCCATTGATTCGGGCTTCAGCAATGATCAACGTGCCACCTACTTCCTGAAACCACAGCACCGCATGGGAGCTCTCTGACCGTGCAGGAGAGATTTTGTGAGCAGTCAATGGTCAAATCCAGGGCTTGGCTTATGCTAAGCAAGTACCACAGCACAGAGCTGTATCCCTGCTTTTGGAGACTCCAGACTTGTGATCCTCCTGCCTCAGCCTCCTGAGCAGTTGAGAGCAGATGTTCTTGTAAGCAAACGTGGAGACTGCCCTGAGCTCCTACAGGCTTCTCCAGACCAGGCTTCCCTCCCTGTGCCTGAGCCAGCCATATCCCCCGCTGGAATGCCCTTTCCATCATCCCACCTTTCACAAATCCTTTTCTTCAAGATTCACTTCAAATGTCTTTTCAGGGATACCCTCTCCTAATTTCCACAAGAAAACTCCTTATCACTCCCTCTGGAGGTCTACCAAGCAGTACTTACTCATGAGGGGTACCGGGAATTGAAGCCCAAGTCTACCTGAACAGCATCTAACAGGTTTCTCTACAACCCCTAACCCCACTTCTATGCGAGATGGGAATCTATCACACTAGACACAGATACTCCAGACTCCCCTCAGCTCCTTGCCATGTTGACCTACTCAGTACAGAAGTTGGGTTGCTATCCACTGCTGGCTCTGCTCATCTCCAGCCTGGCTTTGCCAGCAAGCCTGCCATAAGGGAGCTGGATTAGCTGGGATAAAACACCACAACAAAGGCAACTTATAGAACTATGGGTTTATTTGGGCTTACTGTTCCAGAGGGATAAGAAGCCATCATGGCAGAGAGAAGGGAGTAGAAACAGCAGCCGAGGCAGAAAGCAGGAAACAGAGAGAGTGACCTGGGAATATCCAGTTTGCTTTGATGCTTCAAAGCCGTCCCCAATGACCTTCTCCATCCAGTGGGGCCACACTTCCCAAAAATACCCAAAAAGCACCACCGACTGAGGTTCACAGATTTAAACATCTGAGCCTAGCGGGTACATCCATACAGGCTATGGGGGAACCAGAGCCCATGCCCAGTCCATGATTGTAGAAGGAACAGCTGTTTGTACCCTGGCATGCAGCTCTGGCCTCCAGTGCTTGAAGAGCACAGCCTGTCCACGCAGCCATTCAGGCTTCTAACATCTCCACCAGACATGCACTGAGCTGAGCTCAGCACCTCTGACAGCAGTTCCATCCCTATATCCTCTCCCAGGTGCACCTCCCTCTCACCCCCTCCCCCAATCACACACATGCTACTAGTCTTCTTATTCACAGTAGCCAATGCATCTGGTTGTCATCCTTGGCTCCTGGCTTAGAGCTTCGAAGACTCTTGACCTTTCCCGATAAGACTGAGTGACCTATGTCGTTCGTTGGAACCCTCCTTAGTCTCCTCAACTGAGCCCGTATTGAGGGTGTGGCTGGCAATGGGGGTAGATGGCCTCAGGATCAGACTAATAACCACAAAGGGCTCCTGCTGTCCACCCAAGCTAGTCTGGCTCACAGTGGCTGGCCATCTCTCCTTAGCACATGGGGAAGGCCCTGTGCAGACCCTAAGGCCTAGGACAAGGAGTAGTTATCACTCTGTGCTAGCCCAGGCTGGCTGGGCCTTCTCACCACACCACACTCACTCGGTAACTTGTCATGCTCCTGTGGACATGATGCTCTTCAGGACCAGTATTGCCAGTGATATCATTTCCTTCGTTTTTGTGGCAGAATAAAACCCTGCTGTGCCTACGTACCACATTTCCTCATCCCTTCATCCATCAAAGGACACCGAGGTTGATCTTAAAACCTGGGATGTCAGGTATCTCTACACTGGCTGACTTTGATTCCTTCGGGAAAATGCTTGGGGCAGTACATCTGGATTGTGTAGCTCTTGAAGAACTGTAGCAAGGTGATACAACGTTAAAAGGTAGGATTTAAAAACCAAAGACTCTGCCTCCGAATCCCCAAGGGTGTTTGGGAACTCTTCAGCAGCTGATGGGAGATGGGAGATGTCAGCTACCCATCGGTGGCTCTTTTGGGAAGATGCTCTAAGGACTGTGGGGTGAGCTCCCATGGCTGATGGTGACCCAGCCACACAGCTGAGAGAGGGTCTTATATGACTTCACAAAATATCTATCCCTCCTCTTCTTTGCTTTCATCTTTGTCCTCTTCTTTGGGGCGACAGTTCCATCTGGCCTGGAACTTGCTATGTAGCAGAGGATAATTTTGAACTCCTTTCCAGTATCTAGAGCAGAGTAGTGGTTTTCAGCCGTCCTAATGCTGGGACTCTTTAATATAGTTCCTTATTCTGTGGTGATCCCTAACCAGAAAATTATTTTTGCCGCTACTTCATAACTGTAATCTTGCTACTGTTATGAATCCTCATGCAAATATCTGCATTTCCCAGTAGTCTTAGGTGACCCCTGTGAAAGAGTCGTTCAGGGGTCGCAACCCACAGGTTGAGAAATTCTGGCTTAGCGAACTATTCCACCTTGCCTGGCTTGTGTGGTGCTGGAGATCAAACCCAGCGCTCTGTGCTAGTCAAGCGTTCCACCAGCTGAGCTGCTTCCCAGCCCTGCAGTGTTCCCTTCTGACCTGTAGGTTCTACCATCTAAGACTCACAGTTTTGGATGGAGTGGGAAAATAAAAGCCAACTTTTATGTGTTGCTGACTGCATTGCAGAGTCAGCTGCCCGCGGCCATGTTTAATCCTTACTGTCTCCCCATTTACAGATGGACAGACTGAGGCCTCACGGTCGCCATCTGAACATGGCAGAGCTTGTCTCAGCCCCATCCTTTATAGTGCGACTGAGCAAAGTAGAGTTGATGCGTTGTCCTGCCACTGTAGAAGTGACCCCGGAGACTGACCCAGGCCAGGTTGTTTAAGCCTCATTTCCTGTGGCAGGATAAGGATGAGGGAACTGAGGCCCGGAGATGGTAACAAGAGCCTTGCCTTGCAGTAGCGGGTTGGTGGCAGAATGAATATTCAGGCTGTGGCTACTGCCTCCACCACTCCGTGCTGCCACAGAAAGGAGGACAAGGGGTGTGTACAACAGGAGGCTTTGAGCAGCCCACGGGAGCCTG